AGCTGGTTGATGGTGCAGTGTCTTACCAGACAGATAGACAGGATTATTGGCACAGATGTTCTACCTAACTGGGCAGAAGAAACTGAGCTGCTAAAACACTCTGCTGTGGTCAGTATTTACCGTCTGAGAGTTTTTACTTCCAGGACATTAACTCTTGTTTCCTCTGTCCTTTTCCTTCACCCCTGTGTCATTTCCCTCTGCCTCAGATCGGCCGGTCAGCTCCTATTCCTCCATCTGTCCACCCACCTCAGAGAATCTCCCTACAGCTCCCCAGCCCCCATCAATAATTTGGTTTTTCCACTCTTTGAACTGTTTCAAGGTCCTCACTTTTCAAATTGACAACTTTCACCTATAAAATGTGAATAATGTCCAAAAGTGAGACCTTGAATAATGAACTCACTATTCTCCCAGAAGAGCTGGGGAGTAGGTAAGGAACACATGTCCTGCATATCAACGAGCCAAACAGTACTGGATACGCATAATGATATTCACAGTTACTCTACTAAAAGTCAGCTTTTATTTACTCTTTATACTTTATACCTGTTTCAAACGACAATTCTAGTGTTTACCTGCAGCTTACACTTCAAACCTTTAGGGTCAATTTTTATCCAATCAAATATGTCCCCTCGATTCTTTCTTTTTGAACAGCGTTCTTGTCACGTCTCAAACAACCCAATTATACGTAAACAAATAAATACATGAATAAACAAGATGGCGTTTACAGGAGGTGTGGGCAGCATGCCAACATGCAGAAGAATCATTTTAACCAACATTTATCTGAGACATTGATTTCCCAACTGTCTGTGTTTGTAAGTTATACACACACGATTTCTCGTGAATATTTCCCAAATGACACTAACTTTACGTCCGGAAATATTATTTTCAAATCCACACATAATTGTGGTGAACAACATTCAATTTGAGCAAAAATCAATCCAATCTTCAGACCCAAACCTGTAACAGGTTGAGCTGCTATGAGAAAGTCCTTCACGGGTAATTGGGGGGACTGACAAAGGAAAAGCTAACTGCAAATTATCATCAAATCCAAATGAAAGCCGTGAAATGAGTTATACCACGTTGCTGACAAAACTGTAAAACTGTGAAAGGTAATCAGGCCGAGCAGTATTACTAAAAGGTCAAATGAAAACTAATTTAAAAGAGATAAGTCATTCCGGTCACACGAGTGAAAAGCGTTTGTCCTCCTCTGTTGTACATAGGTGAAATTTCGATTATTTAAATTTTTTCAGCTTAATCTTATATTCATAGAGCAGGAAAATTTGTTTTTTATCCCCCCTCGCTTTGTGGCATCTACAGATATAAGCCGCATCATTGGATTTTGGAAAGGAGGTAAATTTATTTTTCGTCACTGACACAGACTTTTGGTGGGGCTTTGACCTGAGCCTCTGGATTCTAAAAAAAGCGCTGGTTACTCACATCATAGTGACGTTTGTTGCCACGGCTGGGATATCTTGCAGCTGTGCACTGTCACAGTCCAGCTCCAGGTCTCTGCACTTGCAGAGTTCTGGAACAGTACCCAGCACTGTGGAGAGCAGAAGAGAAATAAGTTCAAGGAGAAGAGTTCAAGAGGTCACTTCTTTTTAGCTTGATTAAGAAAATGTCTGACCTACTGTATCATGCTAATGATAAAATGGTCAACCACACTTTAAACCAGTGATTCCCAACCACTGCACCAAGGCACATTAGCGTGTCATGAGAGAGCAGTTATTCTGTGGAACATTTTACCATTTCACTTAAATTTGCCGAAAACTATTATTTATTTACTCATCTTTGCAACGGTGATAGACAAAACCAATATCAATATATCAATAAATCAAAATCAATAAGATCAAATAACACAAAGTTCAAAAGAGAAAATAAAAGCTGTAACTTCCTCACTCGAACCTTGAAAATGTCCCCCCATTTGTCATGCCCCACCTGTCATGTCTCCCTTCCCCACCAGTGCGCCCGTCCCACACTTTGAGAAGCACTGCACTAGAAGATCATTATACATCCTTACCTAATATTGATTTTTCTTGGTGGTGTGCCTTGTAAACTATGTGCTGTGGCTGAAAAAGGCAAGGAAAACATTGCTTAAACCACTGTATAGCCATAGAATGTGTGTGCATGACCTTTCTGCCTGTGTGGCCTGTGTTTATCTCTTTTAAAAATGTCAGGCACACAACAGAAGGGAGTCTCAGACAACAGCCACTGAGGTGTAAAAAAAAGAAATTTATGCCAGCACTTTTCATTTAAAAGAGTGCAATTAAGTATATCAAGTAATTAAATATAATTAATATATGTATATATACATTAAGTATATATAGGTATATTAAATAATAAAATAAAAAAGTAGCCCTGTGGAAGTACTCCTACTAGTTATAGTATTGCATCTTACAAATTTTATGAACCATTAAAATGTATTTCCTAAATATTAATGTAAAAAAAAGAAATTTATGCCAGCACTTTTCATTTAAAAGAGTGCAATTAAGTATATCAAGTAATTAAATATAATTAATATATGTATATATACATTAAGTATATATAGGTATATTAAATAATAAAATAAAAAAGTAGCCCTGTGGAAGTACTCCTACTAGTTATAGTATTGCATCTTACAAATTTTATGAACCATTAAAATGTATTTCCTAAATATTAATTTTAATCTTTCAGCATAAAAGCTGGAAACAGTATTAACAGCAGCATTCATTTGTTTAATAACTTTTGTGGAAATATGAATTAAAAATGTATTGTTTATTATTATGATAATTTTCTACAGGGCTGTTAAAGTTGATGGATGTCTGCTTCGGCTCTGATCTCAGGAGGTCAGTGGGTTTAAGATCCATGCCATACAAACAGAGAGATGACTTTTATTTAACTTGGTTTGTTAAAAAAATGACAAGCAAATTACACTTAATTGCATTTCAGAATTAACTGCATGAACAGTTAAAAAACAAAAAAGGTTTTACTACTTTGTTTTTTTGTGACACATTCGTGACAAGTTAATATCAAGTTATTATTAAACTCCATCGCTGCAGAACACGTGTTTGCAGACTATGTTTTTGATACATGATGAGAATGTTCTACAGCCTGTCGTTTATTGATTAGTTTGCGACGGATTTGACAGCTGTCATGTATTAAAATAAAAAATTTACCAAACAAGTACGGCCTAAAAAATCAGACTTCATACAAGTAAACAAACATTGTCTTCATAAAATGGATGGATGGCTGAATATCAGCCCAATTCCAAAAAGCTGTATATTCCCTTTGTTTATTATACTTTTTTTTCAATACAGTCTGATGGAAATGCTGCTGCCACATCATCAGTTCACAAAGACACACATTGTCCAATGCAGAACAAAAAGTTTTATTATGTCCTTTACTTTGCAGCAGCTTTGTAGGAACATACATAAAGGCCCTCTCCTGTGTGCTCAGCAACAGACGTGAAGTGCAGCTGTTTATTCAAATAATCACAAAGGCACAGAAAAAAGATTGATCTTTTATGTTCGATCTTTACAGCTACCCACTGTTTACACTGCTGATAAATGTCTAGCGTTACTTCTATAATCACAGTCTTGCGTAACGTTTACATTTACCCTGAGGTTTATAAAATAATGATTACACTCACTTTAATAGTTCCATAATCTTCACATTTCTACCTCAATGTTTTATTGTTTTTGTACTGGTGAATATTTTTTGTCTTGTATTGTGTCAGTCAATTCACCTGTTCTATGTACTTTCAAAAAGATAGTTTGCTCTCAGAAAATACAAAAACCTCTTATTTTTTTCCTAGTAGCTTGTATAAATTACCTAGTACTGACTGAACCAAAAATGCTTTTGTACTTGCTTTTGTACTGTGTATGGTACTTTGTCACAACAACTCTGAAATTCTATGAAAAAATAACTGTGAAATGAAATGAAAATGAAAAATGAAAATGAAAAATAATGCAGACGCTCAGTCATTAGAACTGACAGGCATAAAATTGATGATGGGATAAAAATAGCAAAGTAAATGATGTTTCACTTCTAAGTCTTATCTCTTAAATCTACTGCTTGAACTTAACAGCACCGCCAAGCATCAGCTGTGGGACCATCAAAAAACACTGCGAGTACATTCAAAAGTTTAGCTTGAACGTATAATAAAAGAACATATTCTACTGATACTGTTATAATTTTCTGGCTGTAGACACCATTATCCCTTTCCTTAATTCTTTTGTAAAACAGTTACTGGATCCAATTAGTATTTTAGGACCAACACTTGCTCAGCTCCATTGCATCAGACATTGGCTGTAATAGTTTTCAACACTAACAATTTGACAGGACAAAGTTATACTTTCACAAAGTAAAACTTTATCTTAATGTGGTTTTTTTCCCGTATATTTCAATTACTTTCAGGTATGCAAGTTCAAAAAAAGAAGAGTCATTTGCTTTCATTAATTTCAGATTCAATTAAATAAAATCGTAAATTAAATTTTGGTTCTGAACAGCACAGATTCAAGGTGGTGTAAATAAATTGTCCCTGTAGTAACTGCTGATTGCTCAACAGCCAAAAGTTGCTGATGTAATGTGTTCAATACATTATAAAATGATTAATTGTTGATTATTTGCTGTTGGAGGAAAAGCCACCAATGGGCAGTTCTTGGGAGTTCACTTTTCAGGTCTGTTTTCACTTATTCTAGCCCCAAAGACAAGAAATGCTGACTGTGAATTTACAAAGTGGTGCAATTTAAGGCAGCTATAAATGCATCTTAGTAATAGGTAAGGAAGGACACGCTCTTCTTTCTCATGTTGTTGTGTTGAAAAGGGTTGTAAATACAGTACCTTATAATAGAATAAACAACATTGAGTTCCTATTAGGAACTTTACCCGTGAACTGGGAAGAGCATGTTCAGATGCTTTCACAGTAAAAGCAGATGACACATCAGAACCAAAGTGGTGGAAATGAAAAGCAAGAACTGTACCACAGGCTTAAGCCACTCGCTGAGTGTTATTGTGAATGAATGCTTTCTTCTCCATGTTGTTTTTGAGTCATTGGAAATGGGTCATTTTAATGGTCCTTGTTAAAGCAGCACCGACAAAAGATAATGATAATGAAAGAATTTAGATCAACTGAAATAAATTCATAGTGATTTTATCAGTGAGATAAAATAATTATCTGTATTTTACTCATATGGTTTAGACCAGTAAGCACCATTAGTAAATGCGATCAAATAGTAGATATTTTAGGTGACCCCAATTGAATTTCAGGCAACCTCATTAGGGGTTGCGACCCCAAAGACCTTGAGATACGACAACAAATGTATGACAAATGTCAATTATTTTAAATAAATAATAATATTTTACTGAAACTGTTCTTTTGTAGAGATGGCACAGAAACTGAAGGAGTGAAACTGAATTGATATGCTGATATACTGCATGGAAATGGAAAAGATTTTCACTGATTGGCTCCCGTCTGTGCTTTATCACCATTGGCTCGACCTTTTCAGCTGCCAGGTCAATAAACCATCCTTATACCTTGAACCCATAAACAGAGATTAAAAGCCAAAGGGCGGGAGAAAAATACTGAGAACTTTTATTTTTTATCTCTTCCAACACGTCACAATGTAATCTCCTGCAGTTGCTCACCTTCTGTCGGTGTAATTCCAACAAGGACCATGAGCCAATAAATTAATTTTCCATCTGTTTCTGCTCATCCGAAATGAACATATGAGGTAATTCCAGTGGCTGGGGTTCCTGGTCTTCTAAATCTAAATCTAAATCACGTTAGTGGTTTGATCCCCTGAAACATGTGTCTCAATAGGATGTGTCTTTTGTATCTTGCTGCTGCTTTTGACTTATATCCACACCATTCAATGCCCTTTAGAACTCGGTAGAACATTTTACAGACCATTAAACATAACAGTCTTTCACGTAGTTCTACTTCTCAACTACTTAAGCTTCCAGTATTTACTCCCAAGAAGTGCATATTAAACACTGACACTAAGTGTCTTCCTGAAATCCAAAATACTTAAAACCACAGAGGAATGCACAGAGATCAGCAGAGGGACGGGGGGAAACACAAAGCTGTCATTTTTAGTTTTTTAAGTTTGACTACAAGATTTGAGTGAGAATCACCTGGTTAAAAAGACGTTCTTGTCCACCTCACACTCTAAGCCCAGGTCATTCTTCAATCCCATTTTTGCCCATAAACAAAAAGACATGAATGCTACTAGGAGTGGTACAGTCTAATCATCCAGCCCGCTTTACTGCTCCGCAATGATGGTTAGAGCTTAATGTTACATAAACAGGTGAGCGTGCAGATTGCAACTAGTCGATTACCTGCATTGATTTACATTGTTTTCTTTTGCTGATTCTGCAGCTTTGGTAAATCGTAGCCATTTATTTTATTTTAGGAGATTGTGTCTAAGTTGAGGACATGGGCGATTGTGAAGGTGAACAAGTAAAGGGGAGAAAAAATAATAGAAATAAATAAGTACTAAGTACTATACTGATACATTCCTGGGATTGCCTCTAGCACCCCCCCCCCCTTATTATCTGCCAAAGAAATAACTCTATTTTAAACATACTGTTTAAAAAGTCAGATAAGGGAGCCTCCTCCTCGCCCCCCGAACACACTCCTTTTTTTCTGTTTTCAGAGGACAAGTGACACACAATAGAACTTAGAGTATTCTGGCAAATGCATTGCTTTAAGAAAGATGCTTGAACCCACTGCTTTGACGATCGGTCAGTGCGTTAAACCAAACCTCGGTTCAAGGCTCCTCCTCTTTCCTCTTTTATTCACTTCTTTGTGTGTAGTATTTAAAAAGCGACCACACTCTTCTCTGCAGGTTACGGGCTTTCATGCGTGAAGGCCTGTAGAAACAGGGCACGTTCACAGACACCAGTGAGTCATCTGTGAATCACGCTCCTTATTTTACTCTGTCAATTAAACCAACACCTAGCGCATCACAGGTTGTATTCCCAGCAGCTGCCTTGTGGTTAAAAGCTGTGATTTTAAATGTGCAAAAATAGACATTCTCCATGGGTAATGTCTGACAGTAGTAGCAGGGAAGAGGCGTAACCAAAAGCACTTACAGCAGATGTTAGACCTCGTCCCGGCATTGTAGCTAGGCATTCCAAAATATTTGTCGAAGAGGAGCGGCCATCCATTATTGTCCCCTGTGAAAGAGCAAATGCACAGATATTATCGTTAAAATCCATACTTTGTCTTTTAAAAGGCAAACGTTTTGAGTGGTTTAGTTACGTTTTAGAATCTCCTGTAAAAACATGAAGTGGATAGACGAACGTTTTTGTTTGTGTGCCTTTAAAAAGCTAAACAGTGTGTAACAGTGTTTAAATGCACTTAATGCTTGAGTTTAATCACCAATGGGTCAATGACAAGAAGGGATGGGGGCAGTTTGGGCTGGTGTGTGAAGTGAGGATGGTGACAAGTGAAAACAACACACTGAATAGACCTTCTATAGTGTTATTTCCCAGGACTGTGGCATGCTCCAAACAACTGGAGGCTATTTTCAATGTTTGATAATGGGAATAAGAACAGGAGTTAGAAGTAAACTTTACAAAGACAAGGTTGAGATGGTGTGAGCCTGTGTTGAGGAGAGATAGTGGATATTTTGCCAAGGTAGGCTGGAACTGGAGCAATCAAGCAGAAGAAAGAAAAGTCCACAAGGAGGATTAATGGAAATAATGAAGGCCCATAAGTTGGTGGTGTTACAGTGGTCCGGGGATTAGGTTTGAGTGGGATTCAAACCCCATTGTCAGAAAAGCTGGTGCCTGCTGAAAATGTCATTAAAACTCAAATCTGAAATCAATGATTCACATTTACATTCAGCTGAAGGAGGAAAAAAACACTGCAAAAGACTTCGCAGCAATGATTGAAATCAGAGCTAAACTGTCTGAAGCTGCTTTTGTCTCCCTGTCATTATGCAGCAGGCCATTCAAAAGAGGAACCAATCTTAACAGACGATCTGAGAACTCATGTCATTTTTGCATAAAATGGTTTCCTGTTGAAGAAAAACCTGGAGATTTGACCATGACCATCTTGACCATGTTTTTTTTTTTTTTGCTTTGCCTGATTAAAAAGCCATGACACCGCCTTTTTAACCTCAACTAAAGAAGACATTAACATTCTATTCATTTCAGATGACTTTCTGTCAAAGAAAGCTCTATGAAAACTATGAATTTAACATTTTTTATACATTTTCTAATGTCCTGTCCAACCCTAATATGTATATATACATATATACATATATATATATACACACACACACACAGACACATATATATATATATATATACTATATATATATATACAGTATATATGTGTATCAGGGCCCAAGGTTTGTCTCCCTGCTGATTGCAGTCTCCTACAGCTCTGACTGGATCTATGGATCATTTCACATTTGTCAAATTTGACATTCATAATTCTCTCCTGAGAGTAAAATCAAAATATTGATCAGCTCTGTTGTCTCTAATCACCGCATCCAGGTTACAGTAGGTATCGTCCTATGTTAATGGGGATGCTGATTTGAGATCCTGCAACTGAATGATTTCAAATTTCTGGATCTCTTCAAAATTCAGCTTTTAATAAATCCCTCTCAGGCTAAGCTCCTCTAAAAGAACATTTAATCTGCTCTGCCAGACACACTGGCTATAAATACAACATTAGGCTTTAGACAGAAGACCTCCAAAATGTTTTACAGCTATCCATCAACTTTCTTAAAACCTGACTCCTGGCAAAGTGCAGCCTTAGTAGAATTCTAATCCTGGAGTCACTTCTGCTGCTGCTGGTTTTTTTTGGACATTTATGTGCCTATAAATCTACAGTCTGTACTCCGTGTAATTGCGTTTGTACAAAAGGAAATGATTTACATCACAAAAATCTACATGAACAAAGAGTCATTTTGTTTTTTGTTTGGATGACTCTCAAACATGTACTGCTGGGATTGGCTCCAGCTTCCAGCATGACCTTGTTAGGATTTTGCAAGGAAGGAAAGTGAACTACTTGTCATTGTGACACCGCACACCACTGCACACAACCAAATGTGACCTCTGACCTCTTTTAACCCATCACCAAAGTGAACAGTGGGCAGCTTTCAGCGCCTGGGGAGCAGTGTGTGGGGACGGAGCCATGCTCAGAGCACCTCAGTGGTAACTGAAGCCTTTCTGGACCCAAATCTGCTTTCTTAACCACCAAGCCACCACTACCCCACCATTACTTAGTAATAGATCATGAATGGATGGATGAATGAAGAGTCATTTGTAAGGAAAACAATTCTTGCTGAAGAAGGATGCAACCATACATTGTTTTCTTCTTTGCTTAGGTTTTTGAATAACTACAAGTTGGGACACATTGCATCTGTGCTTGGAGGCCAAACCTGTACAAAGTGATTCAGGGTTAAATACAACCTAACGAAAATTCATGCATGCAATTATTTTAATACATGTTGTCTCCATCAGCATCCACCACAAATCCATTAGTGCGATAAAAATATGAATTTTATCAAAGTATCTTGACATTTAATTTTGCATTTTCAAAAGCATTATGATAAAATTGACACATTTTAAAATCAGCTTTTAGCTTACTTTAATTATAAACTATATCACCCACACAGTCACTCACTTGCATGCCCACACACACACACACAAATTTGCCATCTTTCAAGCCCTGGTCACGTATGCACTTTGGGAAAGTACAATCATTTATAGGAGAACTAATCATTTTGTAAGGTCTGTGATCAAAGTGAGTGGAAAAAGCAAAAAAAAAGTGTTTAGAATTTAACCACACTTTCAGAAGCAAAACTTCAAAGGGTGACCAATACAACCCCTCAGTGATACGGTATGCTTTGTCTGGTATCTCAAACAATACATGTGCGCTGCTCCATATTCATTGCATGTAAGATGAAAGCATCGCAAATGAAAAAAACCCACAGCACAGTTATACAAAATTAGATAGAGATAGTGTATGTTTTTTCAAAACCAGGTCACATTTTTTTCTATCAGGAGGTTAAAAAGGAGGCGATACTTTGTACTCAATCAATGGAGTCATAATAGAATTTTCTGATTCCAAATACAGAACTGGAAATATTGTATGATAAAATTGTATTTCAACACTTTCAAAGCAATCAAAGTGCAAAAAAACTCATTTTTTACCTAGAATACTTGAAATGACAACTTCTGTTGTTATTTGGTGATATATGGTAAATTTGATGCGAGGGCGCAGTGTCAAATGGGCGAGCAGGTTTTTCCAGCACTAACACCTGCAATCCAACCAAGCCTAAGTGGGAAAAGATCTGTATCGAAGGCTGCGTTTCAACATATTCATCCCTTTTCATCCGTCCAAAGTACATTAGAATGGGAGACTTTGTGGGGTCCTTTTGGTGCGTGATAAATGACTTTAATAGACCTTGCATGCATTTATCCAAGCAGGTTAACGTCCCTAGGTGTGATATTTGTGATATGAAAACATGACAGGTACAGCCTAGGATATGTGGGCTGGTATGTGTTTTGATTGATTTTGCTTCATTTCCCTTCAGCTTTTTGTCTTGATGCTGTTGCAGTAATTGGACTCAACAATGTCTGGTTTAATCACAGTAGCACAAACATCCAGCCCTCAGGCCAGTGTGACCTTAATTCCAACTCATGAATACGAAAAATCAATACTTGCAGCATAAAGAATTCAAATTGGTAATTAACTGCACTTCTGATGAAAACAATGTAACAAAACATACTTCACTTTTCCATTTGGCCAACTTAATTCGAAAGACATATAGAGGATGAATGAATAGCCGCTGATGCAGTGTGGGGTCAATGAGCTCATCATTATGTGATGTTAGGTTGAAATAAATGTTTCTCATCTGAGAGCCGGGTTGAAGGACACGACTAGACAAGATCCATTACCTTGATCCTGCCATGATGAATGCATTCTCGTGCTAGCTATAGAGTCAGAGGTGATCGAGCAAGGACAATGAGAGCAGGATGATGTCAGGAAAGTTTCCTGTGTCATGCATAACCTTGGAGTCATACATTCGAGAACTGTTCTGAAAGGGAGAAGAACAAGTGTGTATTGGGGGCAGGGGGGCACACACTTTCAAAAGCCTTAAGCAACTAAAAGGTTGAGGCAGCATTGTTGATTTTTCCAAAAACATGTAGAAAAATATCCAGAATAAAGAATAACCCAGTTCCTTTGAATAACATGCAACTTTAATGTTATCTATTGGAATGAAAAAAAAAAAACAGTACATTACCGAATACTAAAATGTTCTGGGGAAAAAAGACAACAAAAAATAACAGTAGTCAGTGTAAGCCCATAGACATGCTAGCATCTCTACATGTGTCAAAGCTCTTGGTTTGGCTTTGTGTAGCTCCCTCCATCCACTGTTGAACTTCAGGTTCCTGAACTGACAGGAACCAGCTTTTTAAAGAAACACACCGCTGGATTTCTTTCCACATTAGCAGCACAAGCTCCCCTAGGACTGTGTTCTACAACTCAGTCCAGTCACACTGTCCATCACCTGGGCGAACTCCACAATCAGCTCTGCGTGTAGTCGACACGCTTCACAAAACCCAGGATCTCATGTGGGAGCTGGGCATCAGCTCCCTAAAAAGAAAGCACATCAGAGAATCCATTACGTGGGACAGCTGAAAAATAACAACCTCCACAGAAACCCCTCAAACTGCCAGAGACAATTTTTCAATATGTAGGTAACTATACAAAAAGAAAAAGAGAAATTCTTCAGTGGCCCAATATGCGGTGCATCCCTAATATACGTATATATATATATACTGTATATACACAGTGCATCAGAGGAAACTTGAATTTAATGACTGTGTAATTTGCTTTTTGCTGGGATGGCAGAAGAAGTGAAGTAACAAGTTTGTTGACAGTTAGAGAGTCTCTACAGAACAGATTCTAAGAGGTAGAGCCTTGCATTAATATGATGTGAAGAAATTAGTTTTAGTTTGAGTGACTTTGAGCTCGGGCTTCAAAGGAAGCCTTATCTGTGACACTACGTTACTGCAATCACGTTGAATACATACATTAAAAAGTACGGCCTCATGGTCGATCAAAGCAATTATTGGCCAAAAAATGATGAACTGATGCAAAAAAGCCAAAATGAAAGAGAGTCCCTGATGTGATGTGGCCTGTGCACTTTTTG